AAAGTGATCACACGCTAATGAGTTCAACACACCACGGTCTTAACATAATGCAAACACAAACTAATAAACATCAACGCGAGATAAAGAATCCACAACTATTGAATCTTGTTTGTGAACCTCCACCTGAAATTGGAGAAAATCTGCATGACCGATGACTCAAGCTTACGACATGCATCATTTATTAGCTTGATGTCGTCATCACACCTTTGTAGTGGAGCCTAACACCGGAGCCAATGCGTTGACCTGAAAAGTACCTACATATAAGATTTTGAAGGTAATTTGTCAAAAACCATATCATTTTTACTCAGCTATAGAGCCCAACATATTGCAGATGCTCCTACAAGTATTAGTTTCTTAGTTTTAATATCAATTCCCACAAGCCGATTCCCAAAAATATGATATATACTATGCGGAGGATATAAACCAAAAGAAACATGTAACGCTCTACAGAGAAATCTAGAATAATGGCAATCTAAGAAAATATGGTAAATCATCTTATTTCATACAGAAACAACATCTCAAACTACCATTCCAATTCCTTCTAGCCAAATTATATTTTTGTTAATACTACCCCTTTAAGTAGATATCGCATAAAAATCTTGATCTTGAGAGGCATCTTGATCTTCCAAATAATTTTGTTTCTCTCAATATAACCATTATTAATTAAGGCTATGTATATAGATCAAACCGAGAATTGACCACTTTGATGGTAATTCTATCTAAAAATGTCATTTTCTTCTGTCAAATGAATATGTAAAATTGAAGCAGTGTAAAACCAAAATATTCCTTTATTTGTTCCAAGGCATGTTTCCTGTTCACCAAGCAAGTTGATGCTTTGTTTTAGGAAATATAGGACAGTTAAACAGATGACTGTTTTAGACAAGTACACCCTATCGATTGCATTAAAATCAGATGCTCAAGATGGATGACAGTAACAACTAACAACAAAGCAAGTGGGTCCTCCAATGTTTCATCATTTACGGAGGAGCTCATAAGGTAAACGAACGTGAAATGGTAACCAGATTTTTGAGTTAGTGATGTATCCTCTTTCCAATTTTGTGAGATCTTTTACTGCATTAATTTCATCTCAGCAGATGATGTAAATAATATGAGTCATTTAATGATATTTCTTTGTATACATTTTCATTTAACTACTGTTAAGTTTTGAGTATTATTAACAAACAGTTACGGTTGTTCCAACAATTTACGATATATCATTACACTAAATTAGGTGAGCATAGTGGGGACGCCCGGGGGGGGGGGGTGGAGTTGTCTGTTGGCAAGAATTCTTCTTGCAAAAGCATCATCACAATTTGCAAATAAATGGATCGCTGCTCATCCATGCTTATTAGAGCTCAATTTATGCATGTACAAAATTTTATATTTTTGAAGCTTCCGAACCCATGGCTAAATAACAATTTTGTTGCTTGCATTACAATGAACCTTCTTTGCACATGCGTCCATGTAAAATTCACATCATAATGCTGGTACTTATAGTCGAGACTCTTGGGAAAATCACACCAGTAGCAAACCTCGGCAAAATCACGTCAATAGCTAGCTGCCTAGCTATACTGCAAGTGTAAGCTGTGGTTGTGTCAAAAGACCTTTTTTTCTCATATTCTGTTCTCTCTTGAGAAAAATCTTTGCCTTGGCATTATTGTGAATTGTGATGTGGCTCTCTATTACCGTAAAAAAATGTGTTTATGTACAATTACATTTCTTCAGAGTTGTAGCACCAAAAAGTTACTTACGATAATTTTATCAGGTTCTTTTTCTGTTGACCCTACATTGGATTGTGATTGTTTATTGATATGGTAATAATAAATATGAAGCAGGGGCATGGCCAGGTTATGCCCATGCTTCCTTAGCGTATTATCGGAGCAGTATGTCATCTTCTATGTAAACCTAAGTGCAATGTAATCTTTTTCCTTCGATGTAAATCTGTGATCTTTGGTATCTCAAATTATAAGTTGATCTAATTGGTACAATGGTACCATAATGATATACACGTTCTTAACTGAATCTTTTTCACTTTCAGAACATTGATTGAGGGAACAGAGCCATGTGTTAGAAACAGTAAGTAAATGTTAGTATTTTTTTACAAATCATCTCGGCCTCTACTCTTTTGTTCCTTGAGACAATACTGACATTCCTAACAGCAGTATTAGGGACCCTTTGTTCAAAGGATATGTGAAGGAATTTCATAGGATTCTAATCCTATATGAATTTCTCTAATTGACCCTTTGATACAAATGATTGAAGCTTCTATGGAATAGCTCATTACACGTAGATTTGGAGGAAACTTTGCAAGATCTCCAACCTATTTTTGCCTATTTAAAAATTTCCTTTGAGTCTATCTGTCTCTCTCTCACCCGATTGCTATATTTTTTCTGCGGCCTAATCAAACGACCATTCCTATGTTTTTTTTGTGTCTTGCAATTCTCTATTTGAAACTTGTATTCCTATCAAAATCATGTGTTTTTCTTATTGCTACGTTTTCCAACCACACGTTTAAAATCCCGTGTTTTTCTTATTGCTCCGTTTTCCAACCACACGTTTAAAAGAATCCCTTTGCATTGTTTTTTGGGGTTGGTAGTGGTGGTTAACCATAGTTGCATGATATAAATTTGTGTCATTTAATACTTTGTGCTATGCCTTTTACATTAAGTCCAAGTAAATATAATACCAAATATATAGACCATACTATCCAACTAAAAAACAAATCGGTCGGTCACATACTTGCAACATATTTGATTTAATTTGTATTTTCTAACGTAAATTACACGTGCACGATTACTAGTACACAAGAAACAGTTTCCTATCATCGTCTTCCTTTCCGCATCAACTTGTAGCAAAGCTGCAAAAGTTCCTTGAGTCTTCGGCTAAGAGAAAATGTAAACTTAACATCAATATTTTTCTCTCATCCACGCCAGCATATTCTAGTTGGCAGTCTTATAGGCCAGTTGTTAGTCGATGCATGCTGTACAAGCCCTAACGATCAAATCCAAAAGTCTTGTCTTACAAACAAAATACATTAGGTACATTAGGGATTAGAATGGAAACTTAGGAATATGTAGGGATCGAAGCAAACCTTAAGGCATGGCGGAAGGGATTGATCAAAGACACGTACAAAGGGTACAAGAAGAAATTTCTTCCCTCTCCTATCTATGTGAATTTCCATTTCACTTGCATCCATAATCATGCTACCTCATAGTGACGTGTAGAAACATTTACAGTCACAAAACTAAGCATTTACACATTCATAAGCATTTACAGCTGCATTTTTATAGCGTGCTGGCTCATATGAAATTGTCATTTTCCCGTCACTGGCGATGGCATCAACATCATCGGTTCATATAACAGCCATCTGACTAGACCTCCAGTTATATATAACAGCCACTGCCGCTCACCATTCTCCGCATAAAAACCAAGACCTACTAGCTACTACAGTATCTATAGTAAGGGGAAAAAAAATGAAAACACACATCGCCATGTTACATGTTGGCTTAGTAATATTCCTTCGAAGATATGGCTTATCAAAATTGCAGCTCAAAATCAGTGACGTGAGGTAGGAGCTAAGGAAGCCAGTGGCCAGTTGACCACTAGGTTCATAGATACATCGCATGCATATGGTTAAAGTGACAGCACTATCAGCAAATTAAATGTGTACATATATGTCATAGGATTTTTCTTTTTTGTTGAACGAACCAAAAATGTTTGGAAACAAAGACAACAGCTCTGCCTCATCTTATGGATAAAAATGAGATACACATCAACCTAAGATTTTTTTTTATCGAAACATATATATGATGGGTAAAGATGATGATGCATGAGGCTGTAGCGAATGAACTATAAATGTCGTTAGCTTTCCTCAATTGATTGATTGCCTGCATAATATGTTGTCCCGTCGTCTGATCAACTGATGAACTCAACAAATAATCACGAGTCATCCGGAGCTTTCTTAGCCAGTGGATTGAAACGATCAAGCATTTCAGATTTTCAGTTCCAGTCTCAATTAGCACCGAACATACACACACACACACACACACACAGTGAACCTGTTCTGCGAATTATTGGCTGCATCATAGACATGGTTATAAGAGCCACCAGGATAGTTCACCACAGCACCAAAACATAGCAATGCCTGGTAAACACATTGAAGCAAATTAAGGAAAACATATTTTCAGGGACACAACCCTACTCCTTGGAGAGGTGATGGTGAGCAAGCTGGACAGCTGGGAATTCACAAGCAGCAGCAAACAGTTGCAAGAAGAGAACCACCTAAAAGAGAACACAGAATGATTGAAGACAACAGGAGAGGTAGCCCGCACAACTGGGCAAATAAGATCAGATCGCCTATAATACGAAGAGGGGCAGGCACACTTATCAGCAGGAAATGAGGAACCACGATAACAAGTCGAGCAACAATAACAGAAAATGTTATTGGGAAATAAAAGAAGAGAAACATTTCCTGCGCCAATATGGCCCACCAACGAAGGCCCCCAAAGCAGACACACAGCATACTGAATGCGGAACTAAACTACAAAAGTACCAACATGTCAAGAATGAACAGAAACTCAACAAATGGTAGAAATGAAACCACAACCCAAAGGAGCAAACAAAACCTACGAGAGAATAGCCACACACAAGCTGTTAGGAATGACTGACACACGGGAAGCAGCTTCACCAGGCTAACCAGACGAGTAAAGACTGAGGCAGCAGGACTAGCAGCAGTTGGCAACATAAATGCCAAAGAAGCCAAGCCCCAATATAGAGAAACCACTATATAACCATGAGGCAGCACCAACCAGATCAATTAGAATGCAAAGGAGGTGGCACGTACAAAAAAATACAGAAAGGAAAGTCTAACAGGCCTAAAACCATTTCCTGAAACATGGTGAGCCCCCACATCCCAACATCTGGTATGTACCGCTGACGTGCAGTGCCACCTGCATCGTGTCTCCTCTGTCTCAACAAGGAAGAAAAACTAGCAAGCTAGCTAAACAAAACCAGGAAAGAACCATGAAACAAATACCAACAAGGCAATAAGACAAGCAAGTTTGGCCGTGTACATTGGATGTAGAGGTTGGGTTTATCCCATTTTCTAAAAAAAAAAATTATACAAGCAAGTTTAATATAACAGCAGGAAACAAGGGGATCAACCTACATAGTCCAAGGCACCATGCTTTTGATGTTTAAATTTATGTTACTGTATTTTACCAGAATCCAGAGCATGAATGTCATGAAGCATGCATTTTGTGCAACAATGAAAAATTCTGGCCAGCTAATTATCTCGTCAAATCCCAAATTGACAATCCACGACAATGGATCGAATTGCTTATTTCACCATTGTTTGCTCCAATCTACTTCCTTAACATCATTTTTTTCCTGCACATACATAAGTTCATTTTCTTAGGTATATAAACAAAAAGAAAGACCAATTGCGATAAAGATGATAAACATTTTTCTCGTTGTGGAATCATGCAAAAAAAAAAGGGATTTATCAAGAAAATAATTTATTTTTCAGAAAGTTATGATTAGTTACAGTTGATTTGTTTTTCAATACAAAGATAATTTATTTTTTGGGCAGTGGCATGCTTCACACCAATGTCATACACTACCCATTTCAGTTGTTAGCTTAACAACCCAGTTCACCGTAGGAAACACTTCTCATCAGAAAAGGACTCATGTACAACATGTGGTTTCAAGAATTCACAACCTCAAAAGGAACATAAATTAAATTAGTGAAAGGAACTGCTATAAGTGCTTCATTAATGCACCTTCCTGTCTCTTTTAAGAAGAATACAAACATTAGCAACCAAATAGCAAGTCAAATAATAATTTGATGAAAGATAATGGAAGATTCAAGCATACCTTCACTTTTCATTCGATTTGTTGGATTCATTTTTGCCTTCATTTTTGTCTCTTGATTGCTTTTCGGAGGCTGCCAAATGATTCACCAGCTTGCTGTATAATTTCTTTGCTTCCTCAAAAGCTATTCGTAATGCTGACACATGCACTGCATAACTCTTTGAGAAATCTCCTGATGACATCATCCCAACAACTTTTCCTATGTGAAGAAAAATTGGGCCTCCTGATCCACCATGGCCAAGATGAATATTCCTCATTTCAATTATCGGTAGATCTTCATTAAATGGCAGAGTAAAAGATGTTTCTTTCTGTGTACGGTATTCAGATGTCTCTGAGGGTATATGGTCGGTTGGTTCTTTCCCAAAAGACCTTGGCGTCCTGTCAAAAGTTCTTACTGTATCACTGCAGGGATAACTAACCTTTCCACTACAGAAGGAGTACATAAGAGAATGCTGGTTTGAAATAGCATATACATCTTGGCCAGGAACTAAGGTCCCATCATTTGCCAGAGAAACAGCTGGATAAGCATCTGAGCCATTAGGCACAAAACACAGAATTGCAATGTCCCAAGATTCAATTTTGTGTAAAACATAAGCCTTTTGGAACTTCTTGTCGTTTTGCCTTGCTACAAAACAGGTTTTGCCACTCACACAATGTGCACACGTCATAATTAACCCACGCTGATCAATGCAGAAACCAGTCCCTGTCCCACTACTTTCATCACTCTCTACATGAATTACCCAGACTGCACTTTTTAGTTCATCATACAATTTTTGTTCATCTTGGCCATGGATTGATTGTGCACTCCTAGTGGCATCCATCTTCTGCCAAAAAGGAAAAAGAAAAATCTAATAAGAATTGTAAACCAAAAGATGTATGGCACATCCTGGTATCAAACATCTACATCCAAATAGTACATACTGTTTCTAGTTTGAACAAACTTTGAAAGAATTCTATAAAAACAACACACTTGAGATTAAATGAACTTTAGAAACAACACACTTGCAGAGGGAGTACCCATTTCCTTTGATCAGAAAGAATAAATGGTTCAAACTCCAAAGCAATTATTGGTTACGTAAAATAGATAAAATGCCATGGGAGAAGCTAACTGGATTGTGCATTCGATTAATAATATATGGATCAATCAGAGTATGGATATGTGAAACGAAGTAGACCCGTGAAATGCTCACCTAGAGTTGAGAAAATATGTATATATATAGTTTTGATTCATCCCAATCATTTCAAAGTACTCCCTCTGTCCCTAAATATTCGACGCCGTTGATTTTTTTAAAATAAGTTTGACCGTTTGTCTTATTCAAAAACTTTTGTGAAATATGTAAAACTATATGTATGTATAAAAGTATATTTAACAATGAATCAAATGATAGGAAAAGAATTCATAATTACTTATTTTTTTAATAAGACGAACGGTCAAATATATTTAAAAAACTCAATGGCGTCAAATATTTAGGGATGGAGGGAGTAAATGATTTAGCATGAGTGCATGACCAAGCAAGATATCAAAGGTTAGAGGAATCCATCGTGCTAACTACCAATTGCCTACTATATTATCACAATTCACAAACTGTGGTTGGCTTAAAAAAAATCGAGAAGCTAGCGCAGTGGCAGGGGTCGCCGACGTGGTTCGACTCTCGTTGAGCATGCTCACCAGAAATATTTACCTCTCCCTTTATTAAAACCATTGACACCAAGCCCTTCTTGGTGTCCAACCTTTAAAAAAAAATTTCAGCCTTGTAAAACTCAAAAGGAAAAGAAAATAAAATCTGCCTTGTGACCGCATTTCTCAATTAGCAAGAGACGAGGGTTCGGATTGCTTAAATGGTAAGGGAAGTTTGCTGCAGTAAGATACTCCAAATGAAGGAATTTCGGCAGAAGGAAAGTAATTAGTGCGAAAATCGAAAGGATTTAGGTAGACAAACTGAACGAACCTTCACACATGATCCGTCCGGACACGTGAAAGAGGAAACGGCGGAATGCGGCGCGAGACGCTAGGGTGTGGAGGGCGTCCGATCCGGGCGGCTGGAGGTAAGCGACAGGGGATCGTTCAGTCGGACGCCGCTGCTGCTGCTTCCGCCGAGCGCCGACGCCGTCGGGGAGGAAAGCGTGCGTGCGGGCGGCGGGCGGGGGAGGAGGGCGCGGCGGCGGCACAGCTGGAGGCTGGAGGCGTGGTGGTGTTCTAGCGAGGACAAGCGGGTGCCATGTACTGGGTGGGGACTGGGGAGAAGACTGCTTTCCGCTGGACCTGGAACCCTGGACGCATTAGACCAAGGCTAATGATACTTCGCTATAAGGGTAGTCCCAACTCAACTTAGGATGGTACTACAGTGCTATGTAGGACTTTTAACTTATATATGGCACTATATTAATTAAGAGAGAGAGTGAAGAGAGGAAGAAACTGGGCCTCATGCAAGACACAGGTTCAACACGAGAACCTATGCACTAGACACTATTAAGTTGTGCATTGGGAGAGAATAGTGTTTTCATAATAGATGAAGAATAAATATGATTGGTATAAAAGAGAGATGATGTATTTATTAATGGCCCACTTTAAGAAACCATGGATTGTAGAGTATAGTTACTATTGTGATGTCTTATTGACATGGCACCATAAAAACTATTTATGGACACTATGGGTTGGGACTGCCCTAAGATTCTTTATAACTTCTCTCATCCTATCCATGTACAATTAATGCATTGCCTATTTGTCTCTCTCATAGAGTTTCTTGGTTCTTGTGTCCAAGCCGGCTGCAAGTTTACAGCCCGCTTTTCCTCTCTCTCCTACCTTCTCTCCTCCACCTCAGCATTTAGCCGGCTTATAGCCTACTATTATACTTGCTCTTACGGTGTGTTCGCTACAGCCAGCTCCCAACGTGCATAGTACGCACGGAAAACAGAGTGGTCTATTAGCACGTGATTAATTAAGTACTCCCTCCGTTTTATATTATAAGACTTTATAGCATTGCCCACATTCAAATATAGATGTTAATAAATCTATGCAAATATATGTCTAGATTCATTTGTATGAATGTGGGTAATGCTAGAAAGTCTTATAATATGAAACGAAGGTAGTACGTCTTAGGGAGTATAACCAACTATTGTGGCTTCAAATCATTTATAGCCAATTTAATAGTCAATTTATACAGTTACATATAAGCATATACTCCCTCCGTTCCTAAATATTTTGACGTCGTTAAATTTTCTAAACATGTTTGACCGTTCGTTTTATTAAAAAAATTTAAGTAATTATTAATTCTTTTCCTATCATTTGATTCAGTGTTAAATATTATACTACTACTACTACTCAACTTTTGAATAATATTCACAAAAGTTTTTGAATAAGATGAACGGTCAAACATATTTAAAAAAAGTCTACGGCATCAAATATTTAGGTACGGAGGGAGTATAACACAATTTCTATATGGTCCCCCTGTTATACACACATGCATATTAAAGTCCGTGCTATAGCTAGCTACAAATCTGTAGCCCGCTGCTATTTTCTCTCCTTTTTTATCTTCTTGAAATATGTTTATAGCTGGCTTATAGTCTCCTATTATACCTACTCTTATTGAAATAAGTTTTAGGAATATTAAGCTTAAAACCACCTAACCAAATATACTCACTTTATCCACACTCTCAATTCAAGAGAATTCTTAGGCTATAAGAAAACAGAGGGATGGGAAACACGGAAAACGTGGCCCATTAACATATGATTAATAAAGTTTTAGCTTTTTTAAAAAAATGGATCAATATGATTTTTTAAGAAACTTTCTTATAGAATTTTTTTCAAAAAAAATACATCGTTTAATAGTTTAAAAAGCGCGCGCGGAAAAAGAGGGGAGTGGGTTCTCAACTCCAGGTGCCAAAGGCAGCCTTAAGCCCAATTTTAGGACCACATCTTTTGTGAGCAAGCTTCAAATCAGTCGACCGATATGACAGTTTATCAGGCATCTTACCTCTCCGCTCCAACTATGCATATGCGATCGTTAAAAAAATTTTTTCTTCTAAACTACTTATCCATCTAAAATTCGATTGCACCGTTGTATTTATTGTAATTAAAATTTTATAACAATATATCACATGATTATATTCCAATTAAAGAAAAACATATATTTCAAACCATTAATACTTCATGTTTCATACGTTATAGTGACATGTTTCGGCGTCTGTTTTTACTATGTTTCATAAAATTCACGGAAATGCTTGCCACTCCTCTCTCATCTCTCTTCACTTCATTAATGCTTGCATGTATGCATTTTAGCGTTCTTCAAAATGATTTTTTTTCTTCTAAACTGTTTATCCAATCTATGATCCGATCACACCGTTGTATTAATTGTAATTAAATCTTTACAATAAAATATCGCGCGATTATATTTTGATGAAAGAAAAATACATGTTTCAATCCATTAACTCTCGTTGTTTCATACGTGATAGCGAATGTTTCAACGTGTATCTTCACCATGTTTCATAAAATTTTTAAATGTTTTAGTTGCTGGTTTTTTCACCATGTATAAGTTAATGTTTTACTTGTTGGTTAACTGCAACATTTGACCGTCTATTTTTCTCTGAGAAATGGGGCGTCCTATAGGTAGTTTTCTCCCATTTTTTTTTGTCCTACAACGTACTCTTTCCATTCCAAAATATAAGATATTTTGATCGGATAGAATATACTATGATACTGCAATTCTGAAAAGGGAGCCTATCTGATTCACATTAATATGAAATATCTTATATTTGGGAACTGAGGGAGTGTATACCAATACCAAAAATTAAAGCTTAAAACTTCATTTTAAAGTTGATTTTAAAGTTTTCCATCCTAGTTTCTTTACGTCCCCAATCCAGGAGATCACACCATGTTGATTACCAGCGATGATATGTCATATTTTCAAGTTTTGAGAACTAAAATAGAGGCAATGTTCAATGAGGGGGTTCAAGGAGTGATTTTTTCTTTCCAAAAGCAATGAGGTGTCATGTTTCAATGTTTCAAGAACTAATATAGGGCCAATGTTAGAGCGGTAGGTGTTTTTTACCCTAAATTTTTGAATGCCTCTAAGCTAAAATTTTTGGGAGTCAGCAATCATAAAAGATGCTCCTACGTAGCATTGGGTACTTTTTTGCCTAATCTAAAATGATTCGGAGTTAAATTCTAGGCCAAAAATTGCTCAAGTTTTATAGTAGAAGTGTTTGTCATCCCTAATATTATACACATCATCAACTAATTAATTAGAAGGCAACATATACTACATATCATCTATTATATACTAGCCCAATACAAGAAAACTATTTGTTTTATGCACTTTCATCCAATCAACACCACAATTTTCTATTTCTAACTTAAAGTTTGTGAAGGGATTGCTCATTACATGAGGGATGACTCATCCTCTCTCTTTTCTTCTGTCCTCCTCCATCTCACCATTTATGTATATGTGACATGTAGAATTTGTGTTTAGATGCTTAGAGTACTTGCTCTTAGGTAACACTTGTTTTCAACTTCCGTGTCCTGGTATCATAAGAGAGTAAGTACTACTACTATCTTAAGAAGCGTTGGTTTGAACTGTCACAACGAGGAAGAAGTCATCGCTTTCTAAGCACGCTTCTCGAATTGATAAATAGTATGTTTTCTTAAAAAAATTTTAAAAGTTGCTTTAAAAATTTATATTAATCTATTTTTTAAGTTTAAAATAATTAATACTCATTAATCATGCGCTAATGGTTTTACGTAACTCCTCAATCTTTTTCTTCCCCGACCTCTCAAACACACATAAAGGAGCTTTCATTTTGAACCGAAAAGAAAGGGAAAGTCCCTCGTGTTTTGCTTGCACATTTCCCGAGCTACTAAATAGTGTGTGTTTTAAAATAGTTCTATAAGAAAGTTGTATTATTTTTTTTCAAGTTTAAAATAATTAATATATAATAAATCATATGCTAATGTCACTTTATTCTTAATTTTTCCTTTCCCCTTATCTCAAATAGTAGGAGTTGTATTAATATTCACTATACAACCACCTAACAAAACCACCTAACAAAGCGTACATAGAAATCTTTTTTTTTATTCCGCATCCGTCTAGATCTGATCTTCACATCCCACGGTTACTACCGGTCTGCTATGTAGGACTCACTCCCCACAAAATTGCGCCTCCCACCATTAATTGGATTATACCTAGCCATATCAGCAGCGATTGGATCGTACTATCTCGATCCATTCCCAGTAGCTGATTGAACCCGTTGATCAGTTTTTTCTATCCAACTCAATAATACTATTATGATACGTCCAATGAGATACTAATAAATTTTTTTTGTGAGACGGAAAAGGTACATGTTAGCGAGCGGCGATTGGATCCTCCCGCTTCACCACCGTTCCAATCCACCACACCTCTATCTTTAAATGTACGTGTCTTTATCACTAACATGTAAACTCAATGAACCATGAGTCCACTTGTTAGTGATAATCAGAGGATCTCAATCCCTCAAGGCGGCCATGCACTGGTGGAGAAATCATCTTTCGTCGGTCAGGCTAATTCCACAATAGTCCCGTTGCAATAAAAACCGGGACTAAAGATGATCTTTAGTCCCGGTTAAAAAGGGTAACGGGCATATTTGACACCAACCGGGACTAAAGATCATCTTTAGTCCCGGTTCAAATGCTGTCAGGGCCTGTCAGGCCCCCCGGGAACACCAACCGGGACTAAAGATCGTAACTTTAGTCCCGATTGGTGTTACCAACCGGGGCTAAAGATCCCGGCGATCTTTAGCCCCGGTTCATAACACCAACCGGGACTAAAGTCCCACCCCTACATATATGTTTTCTTCCTCCTCCAGTCCGAGCAAGCTTTAAAATTTCTTCAAAAAACGAGGGGAGGTCATGCCAAAATTTCTAGTGAATTTATTTTGGTAATTATATATAAATCGGAGGTGCCTAAAAGGTTAGCAACTTCATCCTCCAATGTTTTTTTTTCATATTACATTTGGAGCTATGTTTTGCACACTTTTTTATCTCCAAAATTTTATTGTTAGTTGATGAGAGAGAAAATTTGTGTGGAGAAGAAAGAATATATAGAAATTTAGTTTATTTGCTAAAGAAGGTTTTATAAAATAGTTGAGAAGGAAAATATAGTGAAAGTTAATCTTGAATAATAGAAAACAAAGTAAAATGAGAAATTAAAATAAGTACAACACATTAATATTCGTTTAAAACTTTATAAATAGTAAATATATAATTATTCGGTGTAATATTTCATAATTTTTGTATGAATAATGATATGTCATTATTGTGTGGCTGTTGAAAG